TTCCTCTAACAATAAATGACCATGTGTGATACTCGAAATACTATGTTGATCCTGAAGATAATCCCTCACTAGTAAACTACTGAATTTTCCGAAGTCGTATAAAATCATTCCGCGGGAATAAATCCGTAAAAGAAAATTTTATTTATTTTGTATTATAACTCAAAAAATTACACTCACGTGAGCTTTTATTGCATTCTCATTAACTCAGTGATGATCAGCTTGATATTGGTGAGTCCTCGTATGCAGCTCCAGTGGTGTCGGCTCTCGACCAAGAAATTTTTTCTGCAAATAGAAAATATACTTAAAATAATAAACATATATTTATTAAATTAATTCAAATAATTTTTTACTAGTCATCATCTATGTTCACAATGAGGCACTGATCCACCAGTATGAAGAGAGCTTCCTAAACCCCCACAGTCACATGCTCTATTTTGCTTATTCTGCTCTTTCAATTTGGTGAATTCTAGCTCTGCTCAAATCAGCCCATACTCCCTCACCAATTCATAATGCATGTTGCCCAAACTTTCTAATGTCCATTAATTAATCCCTAAGATGAGTCGATCCTCTCATCTTACAATTGGTTATGATCCTCGTACCATGCTCAAGCAACCACATAATTTTTTTTTGTAATATATATATATATATATATATATATATGAAATAAACAAAATTTAAGTAATGTAAAATTAATATACATGAAATTTTTTAAACCATGTATCCCTAATTTCCTTTGGGATCTTCTTCCATGGTAAGTTAGGAGTATTATATTTGCTGCCTTGAGGGATTAAAGCTATAGGTAAAAAATTTTGTCAATAACATATAATAGATCAAATTATAATAACTTTATAAAATAAATCGAACTTACATACACACACTTATTTGTTGTTGTTATAGGCTCCCCAACACCAACCTCTGCTTGTGTTGATGGTCCACCTTATTCTGGTTGCACATGAGGCGTGTAATAATAGGGGTGGTGGTAAGGAAGGTAAGGGTAGGTTGATGGATTTATTTGTGATATTGGTGGGGGTAATATATATAGAATGGAGCTGAGTGTGTCTAATCTGGAGAGGAAAATTGACGACTTGTAGACGTATGAGGGAAGTACCCAAGAAGGGGTGGTACTCCAACCATAACTTGATCTATCCATCCTTGACAGGAATATGAAACATATTTCTTTTGACAACATTATTTTCTAGAGTTTGGTTTAAACTGAGGCGCATTGCATGTGCGATAATAATTAAACTTCTGTCGCATCATTCTTGTAGTATAATATACATCCATTTATATAATAATCAATTTACATAGCGGTGAGACCCAAATTGGATACTAACTTTTTTGTTCGATATAATTCAGAAGGTTTAAATTGTCCACTAGATTTATTTCCTTGAGAAGACCAAAGAAGTTATTGAAACAGTCAAGAGGAATATTATATTCAATTTTTATACTTAACATCCTAACAGCAACTGATAATTTTCAATGAGTTATGCAACCATCCAAAATTAGTTTTTAAGCAGCATGTAGTTATTCAGTTTCTGCATTTGGTGTATCTTCAATGTTGGTACCTAAATTAGGACCTATTGCATTAAAAATAAGTTATTCATATAGTCTACTCATTTGATCTTCAACAATTATTTCAAAAGTTATGGATGCATTGACCGACATGAGTATCTCTGCGTGGCTCGTACCTGCAAAACTTAACTTAGTATTATGCTTCTCTTTTAATGGCCAACATTCGACACCATAAAGGATTGCAGGTCTCACCATCATCTCATAGAATTTTCCCTTAAGTTTGAGGGGCACTTTTTTATCACACAATAAGCCCGATGCATTCCTCCACTTCAACATCCAACTTGAATTCTGTTGATAATATCGCCATCTATTTCACCTTCACTCTGAACAAGAGATCCAATATATCTAAAACATGTACTCTTATTAATGACTTGATCACCCAAAGTCACAATCCCCTCATTAGGAGTATTACTACTAAAATTACACTCTATATATTCATGTTTTAGATCTACTCAAGCGAAAAACTTTAGACTCTAAGGTTGACCTCCATAATTCAAGTTTACCTTCAACTCCCTCTCTAGTCTTATCAATAAGAAGAATATCATCAGCAAAAAGTATAAACTAAGGTACATCCTCTTGAAAATATCTATTGAGAACATCCAAGACTAAAGCAAAATGATATGGGCTTAAGGCTTTCTCAAAATCAACCTTTAGATTCAAAGGTTGATCTCCATAATTCACGTTTACTTTCAACTCCCTCTCTAGTCTTATCAACAAGAAGAATATCAACAACAAAAAAAATTTAACCAAGGTACATCCTCTTGCAAATGTCTACTGAGAACATCCATGACTAAATAAAAAATTAAGTAGATGTATGGAGATCACCTTAGGCTAGGGCAGTCAAACGCGAGTGAGGGCATCGGGGGCGAAGGGCTTGGGAGGCGTTTGGCAGTTGGAGTTCTGTTGACTAAACGAAAGAGCATAGTTCAGCAAGGGCGAGGGCATCTGGATGAAAGAAAAGAGCAACACAAATAACGGGGGATGGGGGGGGATTAGACCACAGCTATTTTGTTTACATACAATAAAGCTCTCAGCCTTCTTGTTAGATTTAGAGCATAGTTTTTACTAGTTGTGTATATATATATATATATGCACTCTCTCTTTCATGTTACAATTCAGGTGTGTAAATCACTCTTATTTTGTGCAATAAAACAATCTGCTCTTTCAACTGAGTTGTTTTTTTCTTAAGAATATTTGTTTGTTGAATTTTACTATGTTAATTGAGATGTTAATATGTTCATGCATTTTAATATATTGCAATTATGTATAGTGATTATATTGTAATATAACTAAATGTTATTATGTGAATAATGCATAATGTATGCTAACATGTTTAACATAACACCTTAACATTATATATAAATACTATGATAACATAGATATGTTACATATATAATATAGCACATTATATTAATTATCTTTTAACATTATATGTATTATATATTTTAACACTAGTGTTAATTATGATATAATTTGTATCATGTGTAACATTAGGTATAATAATCATATATACAGTTATTAATATGATTTATAATATATTATAACATAATGTATATCATTATGTGTTATGTTATATTATATTACATATGCATTATATAAACATGTAATGAATAGTAATATATAATACATAGGTAATTTATTATATATTCATATTATAGAACATGGTATAATGTATATAACCATTATGTATTATACACTTATAATAAATATTGATGTTGTTAGTATATAATTATAATTTGATATTATATTATATCATTTATACACCATACCTATAATATTATATAATTTACACAAAATTACATTATATAATATGTAAATATATATAATGATTAATTATATAGTGTATATAGTGATTATATTATAATATAATTAAATGTTATTATGATGTATAATGTATGTTAACATGATTAATATATAACCTTAACGTTATATATATATATATAATGAATGATAATTAATTATATTTTTATGCGAATAATTTATTAGGAAACAAAGATTTATTTTTAAGATCTTTTACCTATGTTCTTGAAATTATCAATGAAATCAAAAAGAGTTTTCATTGAAAGCCACTTCAAGGGAGGAGAATATGGTGGTTGGTTAAGGTTATGAAAGGTGGAGTCTTAAAGGAGGTTTGGAGGACGAGAGAAAGAAGGAATGAGGATCGAAAGATGGGAGAATTGATATAATCAAGAAATCAAATCACCAGAAAAAATATGTTCTAAATATTGATTTGAAAGAACAAAAATACAGACAACAATAACAAGTAAAATGATGTAATCTTACTTTATTATCTTTAGAATTAATCTTCACATTATTAACTTATCTCATTTCTTCTATTTTTAATAGAGAGATTGTTGAGAATATAACATTTGCATATTTGTGGAGAAAAGAGAATACTGGAGTTGTATAGTACCAATGGAAAAACACATTCTAAGGTTTTCATGAAGTAGCCCAACTTTCATTAATCATTCAACTATTATTTCTACTGCAAGATTTGAATGAATTATGGAGATTTAGAGTTCATAATACATACCCAAAATATCTTAAAAGAAGATCATATATCTTTATAACATAATATAAAATAAATCCAACATAAGTTGATTTGAAAGTCCAATCTTGAAGATTGTTATGAGAGGGGATTAATATTGTGAATCTAATTATCATTAATTTAATAAAAGCCAAGATTAATTATAATCAGTGATTAACTTTTTTAATTATTCCTATAATTAGTGTTTAAAATTATTATTAGTTTATGATAATCTTAAAAATTTATAAATACACCCAATTGATCACAGGCCTGTAAATACCTGGTGTCATATAATAAAGATAGTGATGGGAGAAAAGCAGTGGCTCTATTAGTAAATAATTTTTGTCCTCTAGTAAAATTTAGACAAACAACTTCTGTAATATACATAATTGAAAAAAGAGTTTAATAATAAAATTTTAAATTACATATAACTACATAAAATCTTCTCAAAATTTGCACTTTTGCCCCATGATTAGTCAGTTGCAGCCTCAATACTAATCTTGCCAATCTTAACAAGAGGTTTTTTTTTTTTATAAAAAAAAACAACTATAATAGATGGCTAAATTGATACTTACAATATCATTATATTAACATTATGCAGTCTAGTAAAAAAAAAAAATTATACGAAAAAAGTTGATTTAAAAAGTAGTAAGAACGATGTCCCAAACAAAGTCTATATCTACATAACAAAACTGCCTCATTTTCTTCCAGTAAACGGCGAACTGAAACAAAAATTGAAAAGATCTTAGTGATTAACTACCAGCACTTCTTTTTTTTGGGACATTTAGGTCATTTAAGGCAAACTCACACACACAACGCATACACAAAGACTCGAACCCAAGACCTCTTAGTTGGAAGCCTAAGCTCTCAACCAACAAGACAAGGTGAGCTGTGTACTACCAGCACTTCACCTGATGATCAATTCTCCAATTTCCTCATATTCATCGATTTGGTTCATAAATTCTGGGCGGAATGTCTGCCTAGGCAACTCAACTACCTGCTTCTTCATCAGCTCATAAACAGCTTCTTTAGTATCATGGCTGTTGCGTAGAGTTTCAAGGATGTAATGTGATCCTATATTGGATGTCATTATTACGACAGTATTTGTAAAACTAACGGTCCTGCCCTGTGAATCAGTGATCCTTCCATCATCCAGTAGCTGCAATAGAATGTTGAAAACATCATGGTGTGCCTTCTCAAGCTCATCAAAGAGGACAACAGAGTAAGGCAGCCTCCTCACAACCTCAGTTAGCTGTCCCCCTTCTTCATAGCCAACATAACCAGGTGGAGCACCGACCAAGCGAGAAACCGAATGCTTTTCCATGTATTCACTCATGTCAATCCTCACAAGAGCATTCTCAGTGTTGAAAAGGTAGCCTGCAAGTGCTTTAGCAAGCTCAGTTTTACCAACGCCAGTGGGGCCCATGAACATGAAGCTTGCTATCGGACGATTGGGGTCCAAGAGCCCAGCTCTTGATCTGCGTATGGAATCGGCCACAGACTTTACGGCGATATCCTGGCCGACAACCTGCTTATGAAGAACCTCTTCCAATGAAACCAGCTTATCCCTCTCTGACTGCTGAAGGTTGGAGATTGGGATGCCAGTCCATTTGCTCACAATTTCAGCAATATCAATGTCAGTGACCGCTTCCCTAAGCATAGAATGCCCTGATTGCCGGAATTCTTCAAGTTTAAGCTCAACTTCCTCAAGCTCTCTGAAGGAACATAAGTGTGCCATATTTGAGCTCAGCCGCACGGTTCAAGTCGTACTCACATTCAGCAGCTTCCATCTCTATGTTCACTCGATCAATCTGAGATGATGAACAATAATGAATAGAAACTAAAACGTGGTGTCAAAGAACCCTAGGTTGCCTCAATAATTTCAAATTTACCTCCTCTTTAATTGAACGTATTCGAGTCATTAGGTTCTTCTCATTCTCCCAAAGCTCAGAAAGTTCCTTTTGCTTTTGTTTTAGTACTGCTAGATCAGCTTCCAGCTTGCTGAGTCGTTCCTTTGAAGCTTTATCAGTGTCAAATTTCAATGAAAGCTTCTCCATCTCTAATTTAAGTATTGCTCTATCCACCTCATCCAATTCAATAGGCTTAGATGTTATTTCCATCTTCAGCTTAGCAGCGACTTCATCAACAAGATCAATGGCTACAAGGAGCAGGTATATTCTACTCAGATGTACACTGCAAGAGAGAGAAACAATTTGGAAGACTTGATTTTTCACATACCTTTGTCAGGCAAGAATCAATCAGTAATATAATGGTCTGATAGAATAGCAGCTGAGAACCAGAGCACTATCTGATATTTTAATACCATGATGCAATTCATAACGCTCACGAAGTCCACGTAGGATAGATATTGTATCTTCCACAGATGGCTGACCACAATAAACCTGCTGAAATCTCGTTTCTAAAGCAGGGTCCTTCTCAATATATTTCCTGTATTCAGTCAGTGTTGTTGCTCCAATACAGTGGAGCTATCCCCTACCTAGCATTGGTTTAAGCAAGTTGCCAGCATCCATTGCTCCACCAGTAGCTCCTGTAGAAACCGCCAAAAATTAGCTTATAGAAGTCTTTTGCATGGGTTTATGTTACTTAAAAAGTATTCACTTGTAACAGTGCATCACAGATACATCTAATATCCCATCAAGCTAATCAAACGAACAACATCACATGAAATGACTTAAATGAAAACCAATAGAGATGCGCCTTTATTGAACGCAAGCAGTTTTCCTGAAGGTAACTTTTAAAAAACAAAAATCTCAGATATCCTATATTCAAGTATATTCCATAAATCCTAGTTGGCATAATCCATGCTTGATACTCATAGAAAATGTAGGGTATGAGATGATGTAAGCAGCCGTAGCTAGCATGGTTGAAAGCTTTCTATGATTCAAACTAATGGCCTCTTGGTTACTAAAGAGGCTATGTGACTGTGGGCTCCAAAAATTCGCGTCTCTTTCTAGAGAGAGAAGAGAGAGAAAGAGAGAGAGCTCTCTTTCTAGAGAAAGAGAGAAAGGGAATTTGGAGGCATGTTGGAGAGGAGAGATGCTTGGGATGGAAAGGGAGACATACATGAAGAAATTTCTTTCTCGTTCTAGAGAGAGAGAATTTTCTCTCTCTAGGTTAGAGAGAGAAAGTGTGGGATGATGGATTTTTTTTATTGGGAGGGTGTAGAACGTGTAGGGAAATATTTTTTGTGAAGGGTGGTGGATGGTTTATGGGATGGATGGGGAGATATAAAAAAAATAGGGTTATGGTTGTTTGTAGGTTTGGAGAAAATGTGATGGAGGAAGAAGAAGAAGATGAAGAAGAGGAAGTAGAAGAGAGGAGAGGAGAAAAATGAAAGAAAATGATGAAAAATATGGAGGGATAAAGAGGGAGAAAGAAAAATGGAAAAGGGGAAGAAGATGGAAGGAAGAAGAGAAGAATAATGGAGGAAGAAGAAGAAGAAGAAGAAGGAGAAGGAGAGATTTTACCTTGGAGAGCTTGGAGGGAGAGGACTTGGAGGCCGGCGGCTTGGAGTCGTGAGAGAGGCGTGAGGGGGGGCGGTCTCTTGGGTGAGAGTGGCGTGAGAATGAGGGGGATGAGAGTGAGGGAGTTATGAGGTTAAGTGAGGGTATTTTAGGCATTTTGGGATTTTTTTTATTTAGAAAAATTCTTTTCTTATTTAAAAACTCTCTTTCTCTCCCTCTTTCAAAAAAAATAATAATTATATTGCACAAAATAAAAAAAAACTTTAATCATGTATCAAGTTGGTCGCCGAGTCGCTACTCGATTTGTGCGCCAAAATTTCAATTTTCGCCGACCGACAACCCCCATCAATATGGGTGTCGATCTTAGATGTTTCCGTTGCTCCGGACGCACCGACGCTGTCCATTTCGCGAACGGAGGTCATCTCGGCAATCTTGGGTTTTCGGTCGACACGCGTCGGGTGAGTTTTTGCACGATTTCGAGCTCTTTTGCTTTTGAAACCCACCTTCCGCAGTCGACTCGATCCCGACACTAGTATTAGGGTCAACATTAAGAAAATAATTGAGAACGAATTATAGTAATACATTGTATTTTGTCAAACATGTGACGAAGTAATCAAGTAGTTTCAACATTTGCTTTAGTAAGAAATTTTTGGCAATTGTAAGGAATGTATGATGGTCCTATATGGTACGGTCAACCATCCACTTGATAGCTCCAGTTTTATCCAACTCAATGCCAACAGCTTGAAGATTGAATCTTTTGTGTTTGGGGCCCTATCATGCTTGAAAGCATTGAAAGCTTTATTAGTGATGTTTTGTGATGGCCTTCGAAGAACTTTATTTACGAAGCCTTATCATGTCATCTTCTTTTTAAGGAGATATATAAGAATCTTCTTGTTTATAGATCAAGTCTAAAATGAATTTAGGCATTCGTCGATCTTTCAATGTTTTCAAATCACACACTATTTAAGTTGGAGGATCTTGCTTGATCTTCAATTACCATTACGTTGTTTGTGTCCCTGGGGATGGGAATATTGCACCTTTCTCCATGTGTTCTTGAGTGACAAATTGAATTCCTCATTTTACTGACTAGAGAATATTATAGTTATAGGTTTTAAAAGAGATTCATTTTCTATTTTAGTTTTTCCTTTCCTTAGACCATATCAAATCTAGGAGATGAGATTATTATATCAAAATGGACATAAGTCCAACTAGATAGAAAAGAAAATAACTGAATTCTGGAAAACGTAGTTACTAAATAGATGGTATGCAGTGTTCTCAATACCAATTTTTTAAAATAGATTGAAAACTTTTCAGCAAGGAAATGCATTTTATCTTCAAAAACTACCATCTCTTGACATTATTTGATTAAAATAGACGAGAGCGATTCGGGCCAAAGAAGGGACTAGGATAAAAAATGCGAGATTGCGTACAAGTTGGAGTCGCGTTCGTGCAGGTTGGATCGCATGTTGGGCGAGGGACGTGCTTGTGCGGACGGTCGACTTGAACAGACAAAGAGGAAGTCGGTCGTCTGGAGTTTCCAGGGATGATTCATGCATACGCTACTTCAGTTGGAGTCACGCGACAAAAAAATCGTGAGGGAGAGAGTGCTATTGGTTGGGGCTTCTGCGTACATCCAAGAGCGAACAAGAAAGGGCGATTGAGCTGGGTGAGGTGTCGGATCGGCTAGGTGAGCTGTCGGGTCACACGGGAGAGGGAGATCAGGCGGCTCTTGCGTGCGATCAAGTGAAAACGAGTGAGGAGGGAGCGGGGAAGCGAGCGTCTGGAGTCCTTGCATGTGAAACAAAGAGGATGGAAGGGCTCACTTGAGTTCGTGAGTTCGAATCAATAGAGAGGGAGCAGGCGATTTTGTTTGCTTTAGTGTCGTGAATGGGAGTTACATGAGGGGCGGTTATAAGATCGTGGGTAGTTACGTGGAGTGGTTAGTGGGTCGATGGCCAACATTGACCATTGCTCTAGACCTGTACTTTGATAACTATATAGATGCATTCCTGAAATGAATGAAATAAAATAATAAAAGTAGTTTATGCATAAGGTGATGATGGAAGAAAACTTTAACTTCAAAAATAAATTGTATGAACATTTAGGAAGTCAGTGTTATTCAAAATATAGTTGGCATAATCGATGCTTGACACTCAGAAAATGTAGGGTATGAGATGATGATGCAAGCAGCCCAGCATGGCTGAAAGCCTTCTATGATTCAAACTCATGACCACTTGGTTTCTAAAGAGGCTATCTGACCATTGCTCTAGACTTGTACTCTGATAACTATATACATGCATTCATGAAATGAATGAAAGAAAATAATAAAAGTAGTTTCTTTTCTTATAATCATATAAGATTCTTTTAAACCACTGATGTTAAGATGCCTAAAAATAAAATAAAAGCATTAAAAATAATTATACATTCCTACATACACCAAGAACACAAAAAAAAAATCAAATTATTTGAACTGAAATCACAAGGGGAAAAATATCAAGGTCACCTGCACCAACAACTGTGTGAATCTCATCGATGAATAATATAATCTGTCCATTAGAAAACGTAACTTCTTTCAGAACGGCCTTTAATCTTTCTTCAAAATCCCCACAAAACTTGGCTCCCGCAAGCAATGACCCCATATCCAAAGAGATCAACTGCATATGAATAATATATGGATTTTATAATTTGCACATAAATTCAAGCGTGATTAGTAAAAAAATAAATTTCTTTTTTCAATTTGGCAATGCAAAACAAATGATCTGATAGGGTGGCAGGATGACCCTAAATGACATTGTGATTTTTTTTTTTTGTTATAATAGTTCAAACTGTGGGCTCCGAAAAATTCCATTTTGGGATGTGTGATCCCGGGGGAACTTTCAGAAGGCAGATTGGGTTTGTAGATAAGACACTGATGTAGAACGGGGTCGCTGGCTTTGCTTAGGAACTTGGAGAGCTTCTAGTGGAGGAATTCCTATGTGATGGACTTGGAAGAGTCGGCCAGCAGCAGGACATTTAATCCCAAAATAAATTCCAACTCAAGGATGTTAAAATGGGGAAGCTCTCTAGAGTAAAGAAGAGGAGAGAGTATTCTTAGAATTACTTCAGGTTTCCTTTCTAAAACCTGAGAAGGTGATCTCAAAGGATCCAGTGAATGGGGGAGAACGGCGG